CCTCAATTAGCACTAGACTAAAACTCTACCAAGGCGTCCCCTGACAATCAAGCCTTCAACCTTGCATAATCCTAATTAACGTTTGAGAGAACAGGATCATTTTAGACATCTGTTCTTAAGCATACATATTTGCTTTGGGTTGAAAAGTGTCAATGCAAAAGTACTGAGTGAATAAAAGTAAATTCAAAATCCCTTCAGATGTTTACATTGCGATAATGACGATAAAAAAGCTTCACACTTCAGGAAATATTTGCAAGCACTTCTGTGATCTAATAACTGAAACTTCCGTTTTAAGTTAAATTTGGCATGTATGCAGTCCTCTAAGGAATGAATCTCTACCAGGTTTCACTTACTGGTTGCAAACACCAACAGTAGTTACTGCACATGCATAATATTCACTTCCCTCAGCAATTTGAGTGTTCATCAGATATGTATTTCCGAATAGCCACACATCAAAACATCTGTTCTAGTTTCACTAGTCAGACAGTCAAATAAATTCACACAGGTCAAACAAGTGGCACAATCTATCAAAACACATTTCAAAAAAAAACTACTTTGAAGCTCTACTCCTAACTCAGCTTCTTCACTTTTTTTAAATCAAACAATGCCTACTTTTATCATAACTGTCATGAATGGAACTGGTAACATATCATACTTAATATAGAAAAACAATCTGTAGCAGTCACAGACATCAATTCTAGCGCTATTATAAAAATAACAGGTGCCTAGAGCATACTCAAACAAAAACATTATATTAAAATACACTATTAATATAGACTGAAATTTATATTTCAGACAAAGATTTTTAATACCTCCAGAATATGAACTGAATATTTTTCAGAACTCTACCTCTGTTGTGCTCCAGCATATATTTATGTCCCTGTCTCACCAACGCAGAAGAAAGCCATGAAGAGTCAAAAGAGCTCAGGTACAGGAATGATGCTGGATTGTGCTGACATTCACTGAAAATAAGACTGGAGGCATTTGCATAGCTTAAGCAGTCCATTCAAAGTGGGAATTTTCAACTTTCCTGACTGAAAATACAACAACTACTACCAAACTCAGATTAAGTTATATATAAATTATATCATGTCTGTGAGAACGTGATGTATCCCCCCTTCCAAAGCAAATAAAAATAGAATTACTGCATAATTTAAGATGGGACTTAATATAATTTTTCTGAACACACACTCTACATATGGGAGTCGAATTCAGCATTTCAAAACAATTTACAATACTATATATTACAGCACTCCCAGTATTAAACGTATTGTTGCTCTACTTATACATACACACACACAAATCCATTGTCTACGTTTTCTGTAAGCTCTCTGAAAGTTATCTTGTAGCTCATTTTCTACCTTTTCAGCAGCCTAATGAAGGCCTGCCAGATTGTGACATTCACAAGGAGCTGGGAGAACCACACATTCTCTTTACTGAGATAATCTTCTTAAGAAAGATTGTAAATACCTCTGTGAGGCAGTGAAATTTCAAAACAACCTATCTTCCCAGGAATAAAAACAGTAAGTGCATTAAAAAGTTGCTTTGCAGTCTCTTTAATTTTCTAAAATCTCTAACTTAAAAATATTCATTTTTCAGAATAGTGTAATACCTAACAGAAGGAGGCATTTTCTTTTAGGTTTCTATTCAAACTAAAAGAAATAGTCTAGCTGGACAGCTGATACAGCAGATAGTGAGAATTCAACTCTCTATCCAATAAAATGCATACTTTAATGACCTATAAAGTCATTAAAATGAATAAGAGATACTATTTTTCTTCTGTATTATTACAACATAGAAATTTCTAAGTGATCTTCAACATAAACATATACCACAGCAAAGCATTTCATTCAGCAGTGCAACAGGTAGGAAACCACCAGTTACTTCTCATACTATAGCAAACCAGAACTTTGGAGAATTATTTTTAACTTTGGTCAGTGTTTCTCAGACTTTTAGGAACCAAGACCATTTTTCTGTCCTCGACAGTAGTATCCCTCAAGGGCGAGACAATGTGGTAGGAGAGGAGATCCTCGTATGGACCCGTTGCAATTACTGCCTCCAAGCATCTTTCCTGTTCTCTCTGCGAGAGCAGCACACTGCCGTCAGAGCTGCTATGTAGGTACTGACCTTGCACTCAGCTCCTGGTAGGCAGCTTCCACAGTTACTATCCAATAAATATATATATATTTAGTATTTTAAGTAGTGACAGTTCTTAAGGAGCAAAACCTGAAACTAAATTAAGAAAGTAACCAGAAAAATACCAGGGAAAAAAAAAAAGCCACAGCAGTTTTTCAAGGCATCTGTAATTCTTTTATCTAGCTGTAGAGTACCTGAAAAATAGCAGGCAGTTTTAGATGCATATAAAATAGTACAGCATATAATCCAGCAGTGAGCGCCTGCAGGTAAGTGTAACCTGCTTCAGGTATAGCTATAGGTATCATTTCCCATTAATCCTTCCTTCAGGAAAACAGTATTTGCTTACAGCAAGGTAACAAAAGCCTTTAAAAACTAGAGAATTACATTTAAAAGTTAGGGAAAGTACAGAAGCAGCAGAAGTGAAAGTAACACTAGGATTCCTGACTGACATAATCTATGCCAGCTGGGAAGGAATCCACATGACTGAGCGACGCAGTACTTCTCTGTAGGTTGAGAACGTCCACTTTTACCTCATTTTCCTGTAGAGCGTTTCATTCGCCATCCAACTGATTCCACTGGCAACATGCAGAGAGAGCTGTCTACAAAACAGCAGTTTTATCTGCAGTTCTAGCTGGTCAATGCTTTGTTCTCAAGTGACTCACTGGACTAATAAATCTAATCATACAGACTTACATACCATCACAGTTGGACCATCATTACCTACATGCACATCTTGCTCAGGCCGGCTAAAAGTTCTTGATGAACCAATCAAACGCTGAATACTTATGTCACCAAAGCACACAATCCAGCGTTCTTAAAACGTGTACGATAGGAACCGATATTCCAGTTAATATTTACTTCAGAAGTTGCAATTCATTTTTTTTCCTGCATCTGTACCTTAACAGACATGTTCCTTTAATGCCACTTATTCCTAGAATATAAACCTAGCTTCGCCGCTCCTGTATCTTTTAATATATACATCATGCAAAATGCAGAACTAGACCTTAACAAAAGGGATCATAAGACCAATCAAGTGCTTTAGTCAGCCTGTTTAAAGTACATTTAATATATCATCTCTTTAAAACTGATGGACCTTCTAAGACCATATCCCAGAGGAACAGTTTCTGAACATTTTGTATAAAAGGACCACTACTACTCCAAGTTAACTCCTTACCAACACACCACTGAGCAACATAGGAAAGACTCGAGTTGTTGCTAAAACCAGAAAGATGTCGCCAAATAGGGTCCCTTTGACCACAGGGACCGGTTAAGAGCTACAAAACCACTTACCAGGGCCCTAGTTCGGTCCGTAGACTACAGCATGTGAATCACTCTACTAAAAGCTCTGGAAGCTTTACAATTCCATCTCTGAACATGAAAACAAATACAAAAAGTCAAATTCCAGTTGTGATTTCAACAAAAGGATGTGGAAAGAGAAGACTGTACTTGTCCCATAGCACAATACCTGTGTATGCACAGAGCACAGAGGCAAGGCAACCGATAAGTAAGGCTATGAGTGTTTTAACTACACACACAGGAAGCTGGAAACACGTATCTGGAAGTAGGTGTACTACACATACCACTTCTCATTGAGCACATAACCCTATACCAACAGTGAACCAAACGTCACTTAGACAAATTTTTTTTCAGGCGCTGTAGAAGCGAACAGTCGAGCATCTCATGGATATGCCTCTAACATAGCATCCCTGAAAGTCAAAACAAAACACGCAACCCGATTTACGCTACCATTCCCAAATACGCAGACCAACTTCCAAGTCTCGGCCGTGACTCGGAAACACGAAGCACGCCGCATACGCGTGTCGTGAGGATTACGGCAACAGAAACACCGGCGATCGCGTACGAAATCTCTCCGGGTCTGGCCAGGCAGGAAGCCGGGGCGAAGGCAGGACTCGCCCCGGGGACGCCCGGCCGCCGGGGAAG